CATCATCAGCAGCATCATCAGCATCATCATAGTCATCAGCAGCGGCAGCATCATCATCAACATCATCAGCAGCCGCATCAGCATCAACATCATCATCAGCATCATCATCGTCGTCATCATCAGTTTCAGCATCATCATTGACATCATCAACATCTTCAACATCAGCGGCAGCATAATCATCGTCATCGTCAAAATCATCAGCATCATCAGCAGCATCGCCATCCGCATCATCGTCATCATCATAATCATCAGAATCATCATCATCATCAGCATCGTCGTCATCATCATCATCATCATCAGCATCATCATCACCATCATCATCAGCATCAGCATCGTCATCGTCATCACAATCACCATCAGCATAATCCGCATCACCATCATCAGCAGCATCATCGTCCTCATCAGCATCACCATCATCATTAGCAGCATCATCATACCAGCATCATCATCATCCTCATCATCAACAACAGCATCAGCATCGTCTTCATCATAATCATCATAATCATCATCATCATCATCGTCGTCGTCATCATCATCATCGTCATCATCATAATCATCATCATCATCATCATCAACATCACGATCATCATCATAATCATCATCGTCAGCAGCATCATCATCATTATCAGCATCATCACCGTCATCGTCATCACCATCGCCATCAGCATAATCCGCATCACCATCATCAGCAGCATCATCGTCATCATCAGCATCACCATCATCATCAGCAGCATCATCATACCAGCATCATCATCATAATCATCAACAACAGCATCAGCATCGTCAGCATCATCGCCATCATCATCGTCGCCATCATCATCATCGTCGTCCTCATAATCAGCATCATCTTCATCCTCATCGGCAGCATCATCATCGTCATCATCAGCATCAGCAGCAACATCATCATCATCACCACCATCACCATCGTCATCATCAGCATGATCATGGTCAGTATTATCAGCAGCATCAGCACCATCATCAACATCATCATCGTCATCGTCGTCATCAGAATCAGCATCAGCATAAGCATCAGCAACAGCACGTCATCATCAGTGTCATCATCAGCAACCTCATCAGCATCAGCAGCAGCAGCATCAGCATCGTCATCAGCAGCAGCATCTTCATCGGCATCGTAATCATCATGAGCATCAGCATCATCAGTATCAACATCGTCATCGTCATCATCGTCATCAGCATCATCAGCATCATCATCAGCCATCATCATCATCATCGTCTGTATCATCATCGTAATCGTCAACGTCGTCATCATCAGCACCATCGGCGTCATCGTCAACAGCATCCTCCTCCTCCATGCTCCCTCCTCCTCCTCCTCCTCCTCTTCCTCCTCCTCCGCCTCCTCCTTCTCCTCCTCCGCCTCCTCCTCCGCCTCCTCCTCTTCCTCCCTCCTCTTCATCCTCCTCCTCCTCTTGTGTTCCTCCTCCTCCTCACACTCCTCCTCCTCATCCTCCTCCCCCCCCATTATCATCAGGCTCACTCCACTTCAGCCTTCCCTCATATTACCGTCCCTCATATCCCCTCTGCCCTCATGTCCCCCCTCATACTCCCTTCTCTTCCACATCATTCCTCCTCCCTCCCTCCGTCCCTCCGTCCCTCCACTTCCCTCCCCTCGCCTCCCCATCCCATCCACTCCCCTCCACTTCCCTTCCCTTCCGATCCCGTCCCTTGCAATCGCGTCCCTTCCTTCCCTTCCCCTTCCCCTCCCCTCCCCTCCCGCCCCTCCCCTCCCATCCCTCCTCCCCCCCTCCACTCCCCGCCCCTCCCCTCTCCTCCCTCCCTCCTCCATCCATCCATCCCTGCCTCCTCCCTCCTCCTCCTCCTTCCTCCCTCCTCCTCCTCCCCCCTCCCTCCTCCTCCTCCTCCTCCTCCTCCTCCGCCTCCTCCTCCTCCTCCTCCTCCTCGTCTTCATCCTCCTCGTCGTCTTCGTGTTTGTTTTCTTGCTGGTAGTAGTAGTAGTAGTAGTAGTAGTAGTAGTAGTAGTAGTAGTAGTAGTAGTAGTAGTAGTAGTAGTAGTAGTAGTAGTAGTAGTAGTAGTAGTAGTAGTAGTAGTAGTAGTAGTAGTAGTAGTAGTAGTAGTAGTAGTAGTAGTAGTAGTAGTAGTAGTAGTAGTAGTAGTAGCAGTAGCAGTAGTAGTAGTAGTAGTAATAGTAGTAGTAGTAGTAGTAGTAGTAGTAGCAGTAGTAGTAGAAGTAGTAGTAGCAGTAGTAGTAGCAGTAGCAGTAGCAGTAGCAGTAGTAGTAGTAGTAGTAGTAGTAGTAGTAGTATCGTGATTTTTTGGTACGCTTCTTATCATTAGTTTTATGAGTGTTCGCACGATGAGCGATATTCACAAATACTAGCATTATTATTAACAATGATTGAATTAGTAGTGCAATGGCTACTAGTTTTAGTACAACTATGATTACGAATGAACAAAATAAGAGTAAATAGTAAAAAACATGGTAATACAAATAGTAATAATAATGATGCTGAAACAATAATAATAGTAATACTATAAATAACAATGAAGAGATGAATTTATAGTAATAATAACAATATTAGTGCTAATAATAATGATAATGATAATACTAATAATCCGAATACGAATAGCAATAACAATAATAACAATAATAATGATACTAAAAATGGTTGTAGACAAAAATGAAGAAGAGTAATAGTACTTAAATAGTGCTATAACTAAAAAATAACACTAGTATTAATGATGATAGTAATAATGATAATATCAATACGGTTGTTAGTGATACTAATACTATGTTCCGCATTAGTGTTAGTGGTAGTAGTGGTAGTACAACTACTCTTCTGTGTTTGATTCGTCTTACTCCTCTTAGTAATCCTCCTCCTCCTCCGCCCTCCTCCTCCTCCTCCGCCGCCGTCCTCCTCCTCCTCCGCCTCCTCCTCCTCCAATTCCTCCTCCTCCTCTTCCTCCTCCTCATCATCATCCTCCTCATCCCCTCGACCTCCCCCTCCCCCTGCTCCTCCTCCTCCTCCTCCTCCTCCTCCTCCCCTTCCTCCTCCTCCTCCTCCTCCTCCTCCTCCTTCCTCCTCCTCCCTCCTCCTCCTCTCCTCCTCTCCTCCTCCTCCCTCCTCCTCCTCCTCTCCTCCTCCTCCGCCTCCTCCGCCTCCTCCTCCTCCTCCTTCCTCCTCCTCCTCCTCCTCCTCCTCCTCCTCCTCCTCCTCCTCCTCTTCTCCCCTCCTCCTCCTCCTCCTCCCTCCTCCTCCTCCTCCTCCTCCTCCTCCCTCCTCCTCCTCCTCCCTCCTCCTCCTCCTCCTCCTCCTCCGCCTCCGCCTCCGCCTCCGCCTCCGCCTCCGCCTCCGCCCCCGCCCCCGCCTCCTCCTGCTCCTGCTCCTCCTCCTCCTCCTCCTCCTCTCCTCCTCCTCCTCCCTCCTCCTCCTCCTCATCATCATCATCATCATCATCATCATCATCATCATCATCATCATCATCATCAGCATCATCATCATCATCATCATCATCATCAACAACACCATCATCATCATCATCAGCAGCATCAGCATCAGCATCACATCAGCATCATCATCACATCATCATCATCATCATCATCATCATCATCATCATCATCATCATCATCATCATCATCATCATCACATCATCATCGATCACGATCGGGGGGGGGGGGGGGGGGGGGGCAAAAAGTTGGGCGGGACGAACTAAACAGGTAGGACAGCAAAGGGTAGGGTGGGGTAGGAGCGAGGGAGACCCAGAACTGCACTGTCTTGACTTTTCCAATACGGGGCCCCCGCCCCAGAGCTCTGGATCACTTCCCGGGGGCCAGTTTTTCGCCCCGGGTCGCTGTGAAGGGAGCAGAGGGAAAGGGTAAGACAGCCAAAGTGTAGGGCAGAGAATCAGCTCACGTGGCTGGTTTTCCTGGCGCCTCTTGGCGCCAGGAGGGGCCCTGGTGTCGAGAGATGGTCCGGGCGGCGGGGCCGAAACCAAGGTCGTGCAGCAGATTTCGTACCCCCCCCCTTTCCCTACTCCGGGTTTCTAAATAAGCGTGGGGGGATACCCCCCGACGGGGGTCAACCTCGCCGCGTCGTCGCGCCGCGACGGGGGTCGGAGCGCCTTTGGCGCGCGGTGGCTGCCCGCGACGGAGGTCGATGTGGGGCTGTCGGCGGGGGTGACGCCCCCCCGACGCTTATTAAGAAACTCGGAGTATCCTACCCGTTCGTCGGGCCCGCACCGATACCGTCAGAGAGACGTAGCAGAAGCCTCCCGGATGGGGTCCGAGTAGATGGGGTCGGAGGATCGCGCTGCATCGCCGGTGCATCAGCGGTGCACCAGCGACGTCTGGGTGGAGAAAGTCGGGCTCAGCATCGAACCGCATCGCCGACACATCGGCGATGCGGCGCGATCCTCCAGCCCCATGTAGTCGGACACCATCAGGGAGGCCTAGAAGAAAAGGTACCGATACCATAGGGGAGACGTGAGAATCGGTTTCGGGGGACTCGGGTTTTGCCTGACAGGGCCGTCAGAAAAATGACAAGGCCCATTCTGAAATCTGGCGCGAGCTCCCGCTGCAAACATCCCACGAAAACTGGACCGTCAAAGCCCCAGAAAAGCGTCGGCAAACTCGAGTTCCCGCGAACGCAAGTCTTACGTTTCCCCGACACCGCTACTCCACGCACCTCTCCCGACGTGCGTTCTGACCCAAAACTTCAGTGCGAATCCAGCCATGGCGACGGGGGCATCCGAGGAGGCGCCCGAGAAGGCCAAATCGAGGGAAGGATAGCACGGCATCGGTACATGTTCCTCCTCTTGAAGGGGCCATGGGACACACAAATAAATAGACACAAATAAACATATTCCCCATACTTCCCCATATTATCTGGGTTTCTGTTTTCCCCCCCACTGCCCATATTTTCACATATTTTCTAGGGAATCGACGATCAATTGTGTCTGTGTGTCTTTTTTCCTCCTGACCTCTGGCCCTCCCCATCTCCTCCCAGCATCCGCCCCGCCCCTCCGCAGCCAGCGCCGCCGGGGCCCTGGCAGCCGCCACGGCCGCGTCCGCGGCGTCGGCCGCCGCGGAATCCGCGGCGGGCGCCGCGGGCGGCTCCAGCACGGGCGCGGTCTGGCAGGGGGGCGGCCAGGGCGCGCTTTTGCCGGGTCGACTCCTCAACGCGAGCAGCGGTCAGAGACTCCTCGGGACCCAGACCACTGCGGGCCGCCGACACGCAGAATGCTGAGACGACCCAAAACCCGATCGGAGGCCTCGCACATGGGATCCAAGTAGACAGGGTCAGAGGATCGCACCGCATCGCCGAGGCATCGGCGATGCGGCGCGATCCGCCGACCCGATCCGCTCGCACCCCACCTGAGAGGCCTGGACCAGTGCACCCTGTCGGAGGCCACTGTCAGAAAGCGAGCGAAGTCACGGGAAGAGGCGGACGACAGAGAGAGGACAGAGAGAGCGCGGTCTGGCAGGCGGGTGGTCAGGATCCGGGGGTGTGAGGCCACGTCCAAGGGCAGCAGCATCGAGGAGTCCGCATCGACGAGGAGGCCCCAGAACTCAGACGACGTGATTTTGTCAAATTGAGCTGTGTCCTTCGACTTCCATCCGTGGGACCACAAAGACATACTAGCAGTCTATGTCCTCCTTGGAGGCGTGCGTCCGACCCGAACATATAGTATAACCATATTGTAGTACACCGTTTCCCGAGCAGTATAGCCAATGCGCCCCCCACGGAGCGTATACTATAAGAAATCTCGGTGCGCGCATCGCCCCAGGGAGGGGGAGGGGGGACGCACACATAGTACTAGTATGTTGGGGTGACGCTGAATCTGGCTCCCGTCGTCTGGTCCCAGAGTCCGAACGCTCCGAAAGCCCAAGCATCCCGCGGGTTGATTTCCTCGGAAAGAGCGTGGGCCCAGGGTTCTCTTTTGTTGTGCTTCACGTATCTCTGGCGACATGCTTGAAGAAGGCCGGAGGATTTCCGCTCAATGAGAAGAGTGTCTGATTTTCGGTCAAAAAAATCGAATGCCCGCTCGAGGAAAGTGCGCCCCCAATTTCGGATCCTCGCTTGATAACGGGGTCCACAGACCCCCGCTTCACTCGTGACAAAAAATGCGGAGCGTTTTGCGCAGAATCCTCGAGTGGAGCGTTGAAATTTACATGAAACTTACGACAGCACAAATAAAACAATTGATTTGCCGCGTGCCCGCTCAAGGATAGGACGCTCCGCGCTCAGAATCCTTCGCAAACAACGGTGTTCGGAGGCCCCAGGAAAGCGCAGGAAACTTCTAGGCGCCATGGATGCCTTGGGAGCAGGAATCCTGCACATGCTGCAGGGATCGTGGCCCTGGGAGCGCGGGCCCAGCGTAATTTACGAGGGGTCATGGCCCTGGGAGCGCGGACGCAATATAATTTACGAGGGATCCTGGTCCTTGGAGCGCAGACGCGTAATTTGCAAGGGATCCTGGCCGTGGGAGCAACCCGGCGTAATTCACAAGGGGAGCCTGGCCCTAAACTGCGGACGCAGCGTAAATTCACGAGGGACTCTGGCCCTTGGAGCACGGACGCAGCGTAGTTTACAGTGGGCGATGGCCCTGGAAGTGCAGACGCAGCTTAGTTTATGAGGGATCGTGGCCGTGGGAGGGCAAGTCCAGCGTACTTAAATACGGATTGCGGTGGTGAGGGCGCGGATTCAACGGAGAAGACGTGCAGAGCAGAGTGGGCAGTCCCTCGGCTTGTCCCCTGGCACGTTTCGTGGCGCGACCCCTGGCACGTCCTCTGGCACGTCCCCTGGCACGCCCCCTGACTTGCGCCTCCCCTGACACGTCGTAGTGTGTCACCTGGCACGTTCCATGGTACGTTTCGTGGCGCGTCCCCCTGGCACGTCGCGCGGCGCGTCCCCTGGCACGTCCTCTGGCACGTCCACTGGCACGTTCCGTGGCGCGTCCCCCTGACAAATCCCCTGGTGCGCACCCTGGGACGTTCCGGGGCGCCTCCCCCTGGCGTTACCCTGGCGCGCCCCCCTGGCACGTGCCGCGGTGGCGTTTTCCCTGGCACGTTACATGGCAGGCCCCATGGCGCGTCCCGCGGCAAGTCACCTGGCGCGCCACGCGGCGTGTCCCGCGGCAAGTCCCCTAGCGCGCCCCGCAGCGCGTCCCCTTGCTTGTACCGTGGCGCGGCCCCTGGCGCGTCCCGAGGCGCGTCCCCTGGCGGGATCGTCGCAGCATGGCGCGATCGAGGCACGATGCGCGAATCGCCATTTGGGGACGCACATCGCAGCATGGCGCGGCACCACGGTCGCTCCACGGCGCAGAAGAGAACAGCGCAGTTCAACGCAGCATGACGCAGCACAGTGCACCACAGCACGGGTCCATCACAAATTCCGCCGGGATCCCGGCTCTGGTTTTTTGCGAGGGGCCTTGTCCCTGCGGAGTGCAGGTCCCTCGTCGGGGAACGCCATGCGGCTCCAGGATGGTGAGCCGAGGCGTCTTCGGGTAGTGTCGCTTCAGCCTTCGTTTCGGTTAGTTATGTTTCGGTTCGTCTTTGTGGGTTTCCTCGTGTCTTGATTCGCCACGGTTCGGTCCGTACACTCTCGGTGCGTTTCGCGTTGGTTCAGATTCGTCCCCTCTTTGTTCGTCAGGTTCGGAACTGAATTGGGTATTGAGCTCGAGCTGCTCGAGCACCACGCGCGTTTCGACTGCAACAACCAGCTCGAGCTGTGCGTCTAGGAAGTTCGAGCTCATAATCTAGATCAGGATTATGACGCCAAGAACGACATGATCAACAACGAAAAAGAGCTCTGCACATTTCAACGCGGCATTGCACACTTCTACACCGCAGGGCACAGCAAAGCACAGCCCTTGGCGAGGCATATCACAATCGTCACGTTGAGCCATGCAGCTGCCCGTCGCCTAATTCTGGCGTCCTGCACACACATTCGCGCGTCAAAGCTCTGTATCCCTTGCCTGGCTCGTGGGTCGATCATGCTTCAATCCGGGCGTTCTCCTTCCGCTCCGGCCTCCGTGGGCCGATGTCGGGCCAAGGACCCTCACGAGTGGGGCCGCGGCTCTCAAAAGAGCACATCACACGGCGTCGGGGACGGGCGTCGGGTCAGAGACTTCATCGCCAAAGGGCGTGCCTCTACGGGCGGCCATCGCCTTGACACGGGAACTGAACGGCGGAGCTGGAAGCATGATCGAGGACGGGGAAACATAGAGATCCAAATTTGCGCGGGAACGAAAAAGAAAATTCGTCTACCCTGAGCCCTGCGTCGCCTGGCGTGCCCAGCCAGGAAAGCGAATTTGGAGTCACTTCAGTCACCCTGGCCAGAGGCGGCACTAGTGAAATATCAGTTCCAACAGCATACCTACTGACTACGTCTCTGGAACTTGATTTTGCGCCCCTGGTAGGGGCCACCACAGTGGCACTCAAAATAACCAGACAACTGGCCCGCCGACCCTCCGCCATCCCAACGCAAATATCCCAGCATTAGATTTAGATATACATGCATGCATGTATTAATGTATGTATGTGTGTATGTATGTATGTATGTATGTATGTATGTATGTATGTGTGTATGTATGTATGTATGTATGTGTGTATGTATATATGTATGTATGTGTGTGTATGTATGTATGTATGTATGTGTGTATGTATGTGTGTATGTGTGTATGTATGTATGTATGTATGTATGTATGTATGTATGTATGTATGTATGTATGTATGTATGTATGTATGTATATATGTATGTATGTATGCATGTATGTATGTGTGTATGTTTGTATGTATGTATGTGTGTATGTATGCATGTATGTGTGTATGTATGTGTGCGTGAATGTATGTACATATGTTTGTATGTGTAAGTATACAGATATGTTTATATGCATGTGTGTAGGTGTGAATGTGTATGTGTGTGTTTGCATGCATGTGTGTGTATGCATGTATGTATGGATGGATGGATGCATGTGTGTATGTATGTGTGTATATGTATGTGTATACATGTACGTATGTGTGTAGGTGTGTCTGTGTGTATGTGCGCATATGTGTGTATGTATGCATGTAGGTGTGTATGCATGCATGCATGCATGTATGTATGTATGTGTGTAGGTACGTGTGTATGTATCGATGCGTGTATGCATGTATGTGTGTATGTATGTACGTACGTACGTACGTATGTATGTATGTATGTATGTGTATGTATGTATGTATGTATGTATGTATGTATGTATGTATGTATGAGTGTATGTATGTGTGTATGTATGTATGTATGTATGTATGTATGTATGTATGTACACATGTATACATGCTTATATGTATATGTATGTGTGTAGGTAGGTAGGTGGGTTTGTATGTACTTATGTATGTATGTATATGTGTATGTATGTGTGTACGTACGTACGTACGTGTGTACGTATGTATGTATGTGCGTATGGATGTGTGTATGGATGTGTGTACGGATGTTTGTACGTAGGTGTGTGTATGTGTATGTGTGTACGTATGTATGTATTTGTGTGTATGTGCGTACGTACGTATGTATGTATGATGTATGTATGTATGCATGTGAAACGATGGTAACTGTGATGATGAAGGTGGTGACGATCATGATGGCGAGGAGGACACACCGAGGGCAGAAGCAAGAATGGGAGGGGGGGAGGAGGGGGGGAGGCGAGGAGAAGGAGTGACGCGGGGCGCTGTCCCTTCCAGGCGAGGACCCAACACCACAGGATGGTTGGGGAAAACCCTGTCGAAGGGCCCAACCATATACAGTTGGAGAAGGCCGAAAGGAGAAGGGGCACATAGGTAATGAGTGATGCGCCAAAATGCGCGGGGAACCGCATGTGGGCGCACACCATGGGGCATTCGGTGGCCCTCCCTGTGGGGTCACGAAGCGCCTGAAGGGTGCGCCGAGATGGGCGGGGAAGCACATGTGGACGACACCCATGGAGCGTTAGATGTCCCTATGGAGCCACGAAACGCGTGAACGGTGCGCCGAAATCGATCGGGAACCACACGTGGAGGACACCCCCTTGGGCTTTTCCGTGGAGCCCCCTATGTGGCAACCTAAGGTGTGAGCGATGCGCCGGATTGGGGGTGGACCCGCATGTGGGCGACACCCCTCTGGGGCCTTTGATGTTACCCCCGGAAGGGGCCACGAAACGTGTGAGGGGTACGCCGAAATGGCTGGGGAACAGCATGTGGAAGACACCCCAGAAGGTCTTAGATGGGGCTGTCTATGGGGGCACGAAACATTTCAGGGGTGCGCCGAGATGCGCGGGGAACCGCATGCGAACAGACCCACTGGGGCCTCCGGGGGATGTCCCTATGAGGCCACGAAACATGTGAGGGGTGCGCCAACATGAGGGTGGAACCGCGTGAAGATGACACCCCCTGCGCTACTCAGTTGAGCTCCCTGCTGGGACACAAAATGCCGAAAAGGGCTGGAGAATCGCATGTGGTACTCCCCTGGGCCTTTAGTTTGAGCTCCCTATGAGGCCACGAAACGAGTGAGGGGTATGCTAACATGGGCGCGGGGACCGCATGTGGTTCCCACCCTGGAGCCTTCGTTGGAACGTCCTATGGATCCACGAAACTTGTGAGGGGTGTGCCGAAATATCCTGGGGGACAGCATGTGGTACCTCCCCCCTTGGGGCTTTGCATGGAGTTCCCTATGGAGCCACGAAACGTATGAGGTGTGTGCAGAGATGGGCATGCGGAGGGCAGGGGCACGAAAGGGAAGAGGGCGGAGGGGGGCGAGGAGGAAGGAGGAGGAGGCACACGGGGCGCTGTCTCTCAAAAACGAAGACCAAACACCACAGAATGGTTGGAACGAAACGTGTGAGGGGTGTGCCGAAATGGATGGCGCGGAAGCGTGCATACCCTGCCACTGGGGCCTTTGGTGGAGCTCCCCATGGGGACACGAAACGTATGAGCGGTGTGTCGGAATTGGTGGCGCGGACGCATGCGAACACTGCCAAGGGGCCTTCAGTGGAGCTCCTTATGGGATGGGGCCACGAAGCGTGCTAGGGGTGTGCCGATATGGGTGCGGCGAGCGCATGCGAACGCAGCCACGAACGCAGCCACTGGGGCCTTCGTAGGAGCACCTTATGGGACCACGAAACGTGTAAGGGGTGTGCCGAAATGAGTGAGGTGGGCCATTGCGAACGCAGCCACGGGGGCCTTCGGTGGGGCTCCCTATGGGGCCACGTAGCGTGTGAGCGGTTAGCCGAAATCGGTGCGGTGGGCGCATGCTAACGCAGACTCCGGGGCCTTCGGTGGACCTGGATATTGGGCCACGAAACGTGTGAAGGGTGTGCCGATATGGGTGCGGTGGGCTCATGCGAACACAGCCACTGAGGCCTTCGGTGGAGCTCCCCATGGGGACACGAAACGTGTGAGAGGTGTACCCAAATTGGTGCGGTGAGCCCATGCGCACGCAGCCACTGCGGCCGCCGGTGAAAATGGGGCCACGAAACGTATGAAAAAGGTGCCACCCTCGGTGCGGTGAGCCAATGCGAACGCAACCACCGGAGCCTTCGTTGGAAATCCCACCAGCCCTTTGGGCGTAGGTGGTCTAGAGCGTTTCCTCTGCTACCCCTCCTACTTCCGGGGAAGAATTTACCCCTCCCCCTACCCCCTCCCCTGGACCTGGACGGGGGGTTCCGCGACGCGTTGGAGCGTCCAAAACGGCCTCGGCGAGGAAGCCAAAATCATTGGTTTTACTATGGTTTGGACCCCACTTTGGCCTTCTGAGGGGGGGCAGGCTAATTTAGCCCCCCCCCTCCTGTGATCGATCTCCTCCAAGATGGTCCCAAGAGGCGCCCAGGAGGCCACAAGAGGCCCCGAGATGGCCCCAAGATGGCCCCATGCGGGCCCAAGAAGCCCCCAAGAGGCCCCCAGGATGCCCCCAAGAGGCTCCCAAGAGACCCCCACGAGGCCCCAAGAGGCCCCCCAAAGGCACCCAAGACGCTCCAAGAGGCCTCGGCGACAATGCCAAAATCATTGATGTTACTAAGGTTTTGGCCACATTTGGGCCTCCTTGGGGGGGGGGGGGCACTGCTTCAGATGACTCCAAGAGCGCCTGGGAGAGCCCAAGATGACCTCCAAGATGGCTCAAGATATCCCAAGATGCCTCAAAATGGCTCCCACGATGCTCCAAGAGGCCCCAAGACCGCTTCCACACGGCTCCAAGTGGCCAAAGAGCTCCCCTAGGAGGCCCCGAAGAGGCCAAAATCCTTCCAAAACCTCCGGAAAATCGATGTTTTGGGCTTTCTCGCCTTTTCGCTTCCGATGGCCATCCGAGGCTTCAAGATGACTCAAAGATGGCTCAAGAGGGCTCCAAGAGCGCTCCCAAGGCTCCCAAGAGCGCTTCAAGAGGGCCCCAAGAGGCGCCCAGCAGGCCCCAGGAGGCCCCAACAGGCGCCCCAGAGGCCTCCAAGATGAGGGGTATGCTGAAATCGGTGGGGCGGCCGCATGCGAACCCTGCCACTGAGGCCTTCGGTGGAGCGTCCTACGCGGCAACGAAACGTGAGGGGTGCGCCGAAATGGGTGGGGCGGCCGCATGCGAACATGGCCACTAGGGCCTTCAGTGGAGCTCCATATGGGGGCACGATACGCGTGAGGAGTGTGCCCGAATGGGTGAGGCAGCCGCATGCGAACCCTGCCACTGCGGCCTTCGGTGGAGCGTCCTACGCGGCAACGAAACGTGAGGGGTGCGCCGAAATGGGTGGGGCGGCCGCCTGCGAACATGGCCAGTGGGGCCTTCGGTGAAGCCCCCGGTGGGGCCACGAAACCTATGAAAGGTGTGCCGAAATTGGTGGGGCGGCCGCATGCGAACATTGCCTCTGGGGCCTTCGGTGGAGCTCCCTATGGGGTCACGAAACGCGTGAGGGGTGTGCCGAAATGGTTGACATGCGGAGGGCAGAGGCAGGCATGAGAGAAAGGAGGACGGAGGAGCGAGGACGGAGTGAGGAACGCGTGGCGCTGCCTCTTCAAAACGAGGACCCAGCACCATAGGATGGTTGGGAAAAGCATAAGACACGTAACACTGGAACTGATGTACCTCCTGCTCCTCCTCATCCTCCTCCACTTCCGCCTCCTCTTCCTCCTCCACCTCCTCCTCCTCCTTCTCCTCCTCCTCCGTCCCGTCATCTCATCCCTAATCTCTGGCTCGGAACCAGCAGCAGCTCCCACAAAGCGTGCCTTTTCGAGGACGCTTGAGTTGAACAGCCAGTCGTCGGACGTCAAGTGCCTGGGGGCTGAAAGGAGGCGCCACGAGGGATGCTGGATAGAAAAGTCACGGTGTTCTTTCCAGTCGCATGAGCTGACCTTTTCTGAACCCAGTCCCTGCACCCATCGTCCGAATTCCCCAACCCTGGCGCACACACCAAAAAGCCGCGCGTATTCACGGCGCTCCCACCGAAAAAAACAAAAACGGGAACATGCGTTGCTACACGACGTCGCCAGGTGTTTTGCTAAGTGTAGATCGGATGTCTGCCCTGATAACGCTGTTGGGTCGACCTAGTGGATCGATGGTGCCAGAAGGACTGCACGGGCACCTCCGTTCCTCACATCACGAAATAGCGATGATCACACACACACACATATACACACTCGCATCCCGATATATATATATGTGTGTTTATATATATGTATGTGTATACATGCACACATAAAAACGTACATACATGTATACCTACATACATACATGCATGCATGCATGCATGCATACATGCATGTGTGTGCATGCATGCGTCATGATCTAGATACATGTATACATACGTGCGTACCTGTATGCATAAATATGTACATGTGTGCATACATGCATAAATATATACATGCATGTATATACACATGCCCATATACATGCGTACATACGTACATACATGCATATATAAATGCATGTATACACGCATGCCTGCATACATGCAGACACACATGCATACATGCATGCATACATTCATACAGAGCTGCATACCTACATGCATGCATGCGGACATGCATACATACACACATACATGCAGAGATACGGACGGACGGACGGACGTACGTACCTACGTACATACATGCATACCTTCATCCATGCATGTATAAACATATACACACATGCATACATATGTACATGGGTGCGCGGGCATATCGGTCCCCCTGCTTTCCCTTGCCGTACAAGAAGGCTCTGGCATCGATATGGTTGTTCTCCACTCCTCTTCCTCCTCCCCCTCCTTTCCGAACGCGCACGGGCAGCGACATTGCGACAAAGCAGCGGAAACAGATGAAAAACCCTCAAAAACTATGATTTCGGGAGAACCTTGCCGACCCCTCTCCCCAGAAGTCCTCCCGAAATCCTAATTTTATATGATTGGGTTTTATGGGTGTTCTGAAGAATTGTCGCTGTCGCTCGGCCTCCACAGAAGGATGCCTAATGAAACTCTCCACGCAAAGATTCCTATTGAAATCCTCCACTGCAGGATTCCTATTGACATCCTCCGAAGAAGGATTCGCGCTGAAATCCTCCACAAAAGGATTCCTATCGAAATCCTCGACGCAAGGAGATTCCTATTGAGATCCTCCACGGATCCTCACCCTCCTCCTGCACATCCTCTCCCTCCTGCGTTTGCTCCTCTTCATTATGCCCCATCCCCTCCGCTTCGAGGCGTTACTTACAAATCTAGTTGCGAAAGCAGACCCACAACTACTTTTGCGAGTAACCTCCCGCCACGAGACGTTACTCACATAACTAGTTGCGAACGCGGCTCCACAACTAGTTTTGTGAGTAATGTGTTCCTCGTCACCTTCGTCAAGCTCCTCACCCTCCTCTGTTTCCTCACCCTCCTCATCCTCCTCCTGCCCCTCCTCTTCTTCATTCTGCCCGCTCGTCTCCGCGTCGAGGCGTCACTCACAAATCCCGATGCGAACGCAGCTCCACAACTACGTTTGCGAGCCCGCCACGAGACATTACTCACAAAACTAGTTGTGAACGCGGCTCCACAACTAGTTTTGTGAGTAATATGTTCCTTGTCATCTTCGTCATGCTCCTCACCCTCCTTCCTCCTAACCATCCTCCTCCTCCTGCCTCTCCTCTTCTTTAGTCTGCCCGCTCCTCCCCGCATCGAGGCATTACTCACAAATCTAGTTTTGAACGCAGCTGCCCAACTAGATTTACGAATAACCTCCCACCACGAAAGATGATTCACAAAACTAAGTGTGAACGCCGCTCCACAACTAGTTTTGTGAGTAATGTGTTCCCCTTCACCTTCGTCATGCTACCCTCCTCGTATTCCTCTTCACCCTCCTCGTCCTCCTCAACCGTCTCCCCCTCCTCCGCCTCCTCCTCCTTCTCCTCCTCCTCCTCCTCCTGTTCATCCTGCCCGCCCCTCCCCGCTTTCAGGTGCCACTCACAAGTCTAGCTGCGAACGCAGCTCCACAAGCGGTCTCATGAGTACTGTGATGTCCTCACCTTCGTCGCGCTCCTCGTCCTCCTCGTCTTCCTCCTCCCCCCCCCCCCCCCTTGTCCTCCTCCTATTCCTGATAGTCGCCCTTCATCCTGCCCCCTTTCTCAAATGATGCCGATGGAAACCCTTGGCAAAAAGCAGAACGAGGCGGACGAGGAGGAGGAAGACAAGGCGGACGAGGAGAAGATTCTTACTGAAAGGCGCCACAGAGGGGTTCCTAGTGAAATCCTCCAGAGCAGGGTTCCTAGCGAAACCTGTCATAAGAAAGAGAAGTAGACGGGTGAGATGGGCGAAGAAAAATGAAGCGGGTGAGGAGGGGGAAGGAAGAAATCGACCACATAGGGATTCCTACTGAAATCCTCCACAGGAAAATCTGATTGAAATCCCCCACACAGGTATTCCTATAGAAATCCTCCACATAAGGATTCCTATGGAACTCCTCCAGGGAAGGATTCGCGTTGAAACCGTTCACAACAAGGAGACGTAGGCGGTTGCAATCAAAACCGACGTAACCAAATACATTGCAAGTCAAGAGATTTGGCACTGACTCGATGAAAGGCAGCCGTGGCAAGCGGAGGCTTGGGCCGCGTGCGGGTGATTTGACTAGGCGTCGGCAGTTATGTCTGGTTGGGGGACGCCTCAGTCGCTCGGGCTTGCCTTCACTGAGCTTACGGGGGTTTGAAAAGAATGCGCGTGCACGTGTTGCATTGATCGGCTGCATGCGCAGACACAGACATACATATGCGAGGATGTGCCACGTTTGAAGTTGGACAGTTCAGAGGATGAGGTTCTCAAGAACCGCAGGGGGGGTGACGTGCACGCGCGCCACGTATATAGAAAGATGTGTGTATGTGTACGAATATGCGTATGGGTGTATATGACTGTAGTTGTGTAAATGTGTATGTGTTCACATGTGTATGTGATGTGTATATATATATATATATGGTTGTGCATGTATGGAGTTACATGTGCACAAGTGTTTGTATGGATGGTTGTGTATATGCATGTACGTGTACACGTGTGTACGTATGTATGTGTGTACGTATGTATGTATGTGTGCATGGATGGATATATATATATATATATATATATATATATATATATGTGTGTGAATGCGTATGTATGAATATATGGGTGTACGTATGCGTGTATGATTGTGTGTATGAACACTTGTATATGTGTATATATATGTATATATATATATATATGGATGTGTGTATGTGCGTATGCATGTATACATGTATGCGTGTATGCATGTATGGTTGCATGCATACATACATGTACACGTGTAAGTATGTGTGTATGTATGTATGTATGTATGTATGTATGTATTGATGGGTGGATGCACGTATGCATGGCTGTATGTATGACTGTATGTATGTGTATGCATGTGTGTATGTATGTGTATATATATATCTGTGTATGTATGCAAATGTTTGTATAAATGGATAGATGAATGTGTATGTATGCGATCCCGCAGATACGGAGAAGAGTGAGGGGGCGGTGGGAACGTCGGCAGTTTGCGAGACTCTGGAGAAGCTCGCCGCAGGCGCCGAAGTCTCCCAAATTATATAACGAGCCCGCCGCAGGCGCCGATTTCCTCGTTAAACCAATGTGGATAGGTCGCGGGTGGCTCGCGGGTGGGTCGCAAAACGCAAATGGGTCGCGGGTGGGTCGCGGGTGGATCGCGGGTGGGTGGCGGGGTGGGTCGCGTGTGGGTCGCAAGAGGGTCGCGGATGGGTCGCGGGGTGGGTCGCCGTTGGGTCCCTGGTGGGTCGCGGGTGGGTCGCGGGTGGGTCGCGGGGTGGGTCGCGGGTGGGTCGCAAGTGGGCCGCGGATGGGTCGCGGGGTGGGTCGCGGGTGGGTCGCTGGTGGGTTGCGGGTGAGTCGCGGCGTGGGTCGCGGGTGGGTCGGGTCGCGGGGTGGGTCGCGAGTGGGTCGCGGGGTGGGTCGCGGGGTGGGTCGCGGGGTGGGTCGTGGGGTGGGTCGCGGGTGGGACGACGACAACAAACAACAACAACAACAACAACAACAACAACAACAACAACAACAAGAACAACACCAACAAGAATAACAACAACAACAACAACAACAACAACAACAACAACAACAATAACAACAACAACAACGATAACAACAACAGCAGCAACAACAACAGTACAACAAAAACAGCCACAACGACAACAACAACGACAACGACAACGACAACAGCAGCAACAACAACGCAACAAACAAGATCCTCACCACGGGTCTGATTTTCAGCCACACACCCAGGGACAATGAATGACCGTTCGGCTCCCTCACCCTGATGGTTGTGTGTATGTATGTATGTATGCATGTCTGTATGTACGGATGGATGTATGTATGGATGTATGTATGGATGTATTTCTTTTATGTTTATATATATATATATTTGTATGTCTAGAGATAGAGACATATAAATGTATAAACATCTATATATATATAAATAAATATGTTTATAATGTATGTATAGAGAGAGAACAAAGAGACAATGAGCGAGACATAAAGAAAAAGAGAGAGATAGAGAGACAGACAGACAGACAGACGGACAGACAGACAGGCAGGCAGGCAGGCAGGCAGGCAGACAGGCAGACAGAAAGGATGACCGACGGACAGACAGCCAGCCAGAGGCGCAGAGGCAGGGGGAAGGGAGACAGGGAGATGAGGATTAGCAATCATTCATTCTGCGTCGGGCGGACACAGAGATGGGGGCAAAGGTTAGGCCCAACAGGCTGAGCCATGAGGAAGGTGAAGAGGCAGGAGAGGGATCAAGGGCAGGAGAGAGGGGAGGAGAGGCAAGGTGCAGAAGCGGCGCGGAGGGGAAGGAGCAATGGGGGAGAGGCCTCTGCTGCTTGTCAGAGAACACCGACAGGATGTCCCGCACGACGTCCCGGATTTTGCGACCGACCTCCGCCCGGCGGCCACAAAGACGAAAGCTCTATGAGCGGCAGCCATCCTTCCCTACTTCGTCCTGCGCGAACTCTCCATCCTCCTCTGCATGGCCGTCTCCCCAAGACTCGAACTTCTGGGGACATCCTCCAGAACCCCCTCCACTTCTGAGCAGGGCCTGGTCCTGCCCCCTGGTTGGACGGGTTCTCATAACATGGACCGGATGTACGACTTCAAAATAACAACAGTCTCGGTTACCTGATCAGCCTGCCTCCCACGTCCCTTCGGGTGACCGTGCAAAGCTTGTGCAGGACATGCACCTGGAAGGGAACAGAGATTCTGGCGGTTGCGGGCGATCTGCAAACGGGCACTGAGACCGCGGGCCCCTGAGAGCAGCGGAGACGCGCCAGTGGGCTGGGCACCGGGAACCCCCTGCCAACTCCACGAACGACCCACCTATCTTGAGACAAGACCTCCGAACACTCTGGAGGGGACCAGCACTGGAACAAGCATCGCAATGGAGGGGCTTACCGTCTTCAGTGGTTCGTACCGTCCTCGAACTTCATGTCGTTCTTCGCTCGTCGTTCTGAAGGGGCTTCTGTACTGGATCTTGGGTCCAACAGAGTCCACGGGGCTCCGAGGAGAGAGGCGGAATCCCGCCGTCGTCTTCAAGGACTCGTGTGGGGCATCGTCCGCGCATCGCACCTCCGCGTGAAAAAGGCCAACGCTGCTTCCAAAGATCGCGGCTCCAGAGCAAAGCATCCTGAAAACAGATCCCGTGACCCCTCTTGCGCACAATCCTGGCAAGTTCTTCTCGGCGAGTCCGCCCCCAGCCACGAGGGGGGGCGAGGGGGAGGAGGAGGAGGAGGAGGAGGAGGAGGAGGAGGAGGAGGAAGAGGAGGAGGAGGAGGAGGAGGAGGAGGAGGAGGAGGAGGAGGCGGAGGAGGAGGAGGAGGAGGGAAGAGGGGGGCCCACATGACTCGGCGGCGCGCCGAGGGGGAGGGGGAAAAGGAGGACCAGGAGGAGGAGGAGGAGGAGGAGGAGGGGGGAGGAGGAGGAGGAGGGAGGAGGAGGGGGAGGAGGAGAGGAGGAGGAGGAGGAAGAGGGGGCGGGCCTCCTCAGAAGGCGGTGCGGTCTCGAAACCTTCTGAGGAGGCCCGTCCCGTCTGCCTTCCCGCCATGGGCGCGCCGCCGAAGGACGGCCAAGACTTACGAGGGCACGCACGCGGACGACCACGAAGCGGCTCCCCTCCTCCTCCTCCTCCTCGTCCTCGTCCTCTTCCTCGTCCTCCTCCTCCTCCTCCTCCTCCTCCTCCTCGTCATCCTCCTCCTCGTCCTCTTCCTCGTCCTTCTCCTCCTCCTCCTCCTCCTCCTCCCCCTCCTCCTCCTCCTCCTCCTCCTCCTCCTCGTCCTCGTCCTCGTCCTTCGCTAGGCAACCATCGGGGGTAACAGCTCAAGGAGGGAGGCATCGAGCTAGAGTCGGCGAAACATCGCCGATCGATCGGCGATAGGCCCCCGATAGCGAGGACGCACGCTCTCGGTCGGGTTGGGCGATCAGGCCCGTACCGACGATGAATGGGCGATTGGGGCCCGATGCGCTCCCCCTGAGCCTATCCCCATGACGTTGCCCCTGAACGAATCGGCAGCCCCAGTGCCTTCGGGTGCACGCCGACGGCGAATTTCCTGTTCGTGATAATGTCGTAGAGGTCGGTCGTGGACGCTCGGCCCTCTTGCGCCATGTTGCAGGCCTCGAGCACTGGGGTGGCGGAGAAGGGTCAGCAGGGAACGAAGTCCTCGCCAGGAAAAGCCACAGATTCGACTATCAGCAATCGGCCTTGGGCCGTCTTCGGCGAATCTCATCAGTCTTCGGCGGCCTTCTGGCGGGCTTCGGCAGTTTTCGGGGGTCTTTTGACGGTCTTCGGCGCGAAAGCTGGAGGGCTGCTTTCAACGAGGGGTCCATGATCGAACGCCGAAGAAAAAGGTGTTGAACAAATGTTTGGCAGCCGCCTTCTCCGCGCACTGCTTCCCCTCCCATCCCCCTTCTGACCCTCCTGCTCCCCTCCCCCTTCTGCTGCCTTCCCCTCCTGACCCTCCCCTCCTGACCCTCCACTCCCTCTTCTGCCCCTCCGCTCCTGATCCTCCCCTCCCCTCCCCCTCGTGACCCTCCACTCCCCTCCCCCTCCCCCTTCTGGCCCTCCTGCTCCCCTTGGCCTCCACCTCGCCTCCTCTGTCCGCTCGCCCACTCGTCCCACGCACCGTGTTCCACGCCGACCCCTTCTCGCACGCACACCCAGATTCTCTGGCCCTCCTCCCCTTCGCAGCATTGTTGTCCACCACTCGTTCTGCTCCCCCCTGCGCCTCCCTCCTCGTCCCATCCCGCTCCCCTGTCCCAGCCCCTCCTTCTTCCCATCCCCGCTCCCACGGATCCACAAATCCGCCCATCCTCCGGTCTCCACCTTCTGTCCTCTTTCGCTTCACGTCCTCTGTCTGCCCGCCTGTGGTCACACTGGGCTCTGAGAAAAGAAAGCGAGATACACCACGAAGTGAAAATGCAAATGCACATATAGATATACATACTAGGTACATACGTATACACAGGTATACGTCCATACGTACATACGTACCTACGTATATACGTTCATGCGTGCATACATACGTACATACATACATGCATACATGCCTACATCGAACATACAGACATGCATACATGCATGCATGCACACATGCACTTATGCAGGCATCCATATATGAATAAGCAAATGTGTATACGTATATACATACACATATGCACGCCTGTACACATACACCTGTACATGCACGCATAAATACATGCATGCCTGCATGCATGCATGCATACATGTACACAGGCAGACATGCATACATACAAACGTACGCACATACATACATACATACATGTAAACATTAATGCATTCATTCATGCATGCATGTATATACACGTATACATGCATACACACACACATGCATGCATGCATACATACACACATACAAGATCCCTGAACACGTACATACATGAATACACACGCACATACCTATATTCATACAGACGTACCTGTATACATACGTACATGTATACATATACATATATGTGTGTATGCATCCGTAATTATATGAACGATACATGTATCTACTCATGCATACATACATGTCTAGATAAATGTTGACATATATGCCTACAAACATACATGCAGGCATGCTTGCTAATATATATATATATATATACACACACCTATGTCCATGCATGCACGCATAGAAACAGACATGCATACACAGGCATGCACATATATCTACATATGTAGGCATGCATGCATACATCTATATATACACGGAAATTGGGAGGTGAGTCCGACGTGAAACGGAGACCCCCCCTATCGGGAAATCGATTTCGGTTTCGGGGTCGTATCGTCCGTGCCGTGCGCGCGTGCGGGCGAGGCGAAGCTGCGTGGGCGGGCGAGAAGAAATCCTCCTGTGGCTGGGCCGCGGCCAGACCAAATGTTTCTCGTCCGGCGGCCAGTGGCCCGCGGTGTCCCGCCGGTGTCCCGCTGGTGACCCGATATCCTCCTGTGGCTGGGCCGCGGCCGGACCAAGTGTTTCTCCTCCAGCGGCCGGTGGCCCGCGGTGTCCCGCCGGTGTCCCGCTGGTGTCCCGAAATCCTCCTGTGCCTGGGCCGCGGCCGGACCAAATGATTACCCTCCGGCGGCCAGTGGCGCTTCGTCAACATCGCCACATCACATCACGCTCACGTGCACAATCACACTACTCACTAGACTCCGCCCCACAGGCATCGTCAGAACAACAATCACCACTTTTGCCCACTGCTGCCCCCCAAACCTCCTTATCACCCGCAGGGTGGTCGTAAAGGTATAAATACATATACATATACATATACATATCTGTATGTATACACGTGCGTACGTACATACAGATATACATACATGCATACATGCATACAACCTCTTGCCTGCAACGTCAACGGTTTTTTCGAAGGGCTGGGCGCTGGCGCGCAGTAGTGCCGGTCTCGCCAGGGTGTCTCGAACAGCGGGCTTCCGATCAACCAGCCTCGTTCTATCCTGCCCTCTTCGGAGCTCCGCAGCGCATTTCCCTTCAGACACCATGCGGCGCGCATATATCCGCCAATGTGTCTGCACGGAATGGGCCTGTTAGAATGTTTGTCGGTTGGCTGGTATGGTTTTGAACTGATTTCTTCAGCCGACCTTCCCCACCTTTGGCCGCAAGCGTCATTCTGAGATCGCCCCCCCCCCCTATTTGCTCTCTGGCGGGTTGTTCGGTTTCCGAACGGTCCGGATGGCCTACGAGACGGCTTCCAAGACAGCCAGGACGACACCGAGACGACGGTTTCAGGCAACTCAACAGGCTCCCACGTCAGCCTCAAGACAGCCGAAAAGGAATCCATGGTGGCCCATGAGAGCTCGACGAGGCCATTCACGAGAGCCTGAGGAGGCAAAACCGCTGATGCTCCAAATGTTGTTGCAAGATTTGAAATGCTCGCCTGATTGAATTTGCGACCGCCCAAAACGGCCCACGTTGCCTCCGAGACAACCCCAAAACAACGCCCAAGAGTTCCCGCGCATGATGCAAAGCAGCGGAATGCCCAAGTCGTGTCTGCCATTGCGAAAAAGCAATAAAACGCGCCGCCGGGAGGATGACGGGACCGGCAGATGTGGACAGGCGACAACCGAGGGTGGCCGACGCCAAGACAAGAACACGAATTGTCGCATGAATCACGTCACCAGAACAGCACACGAGGCCGCGCGGCCCGACGACGTCAGCTGAGCCAACCCCATCTCAACGACCGCGACTGGCTCTCATCGCAAGGCGGAGACGCGGGGTGGGGGAAGGCGGAAAACGAAACGCCTCCACGAGCCAGGATCGACGCAGGCTGGACCGAGCCACCACCACCACCAATGAAAGGGGTCGGAAGGGGGAAGGGGGTCGTCGTCGACGTCGTCGTCCCACTGTAAACGGGCCCGCCGCGCCAGGGCCGCCGCCTCATCGTCGTGGGGGCGCCGCTTCACCGGGGGGACAAACGGGGGGCCGCCATGGGAGTGAACGCTCCAAGGATGCGGTAGGGGACGTTGCCACCGTCGTCGAACACGTCGTCCACGCCGTCGTCAGGGCCGCCGTCGTCCTGCGTCGATCCTGAGCCGCCGCTGGGGTCGCCGCTGGGGCCGCCGCCGGGGTCGCCACTTGAATTGCCGCCAGAAGGGCCGCCGCTGGGGCCGCCAGGGCAACCCCACGATGCCGCCACCGTCACCGCATCGGCGGCCGACTGCACCCCCGCGGAGCCGGCGCCGGACGCCTCGGACGGGGGAGGCAGAGCCCGACGGATCTCGAGACCGAGGCGGCAAGCCGCGACCTGCAGCTGCGCCCAGCGCTCGACCGAGGGCCCGGCCGCGCGCGTGATCCAGCAGGACCGGGTTGTCACCGCAGGTTGGGCCAGCCACCAATCTCAGGGGACCCCGAGCTCAGCGCCGAGGCTGGGGCGGAGCACGTCGAACCGAGGGCATGCCGCCCACAGGTGCCGCGCAAAGCACAGAAACTCTGGGCACCACGGGCAGGCATTAGCGCGCTCGCCACGCCCCCGGCCGGCGCGAGTCCGCGCAACCCCGCCACGCCAGACGCTGAAGAGCGATCGATCCTGCGGGCACAGGCCGCGGTGCCAGTCCCGCCAGGCGGAAGCGCTCGAGGCTTGCACGTCGGTAGCCCCCGTCCCCTCCTCGTCATGCCCGGCCTGCCGGCCTCGGGGCAGGAGAGGGAGGCGCCGGGCCGCGACCCGGAAGGGCGTGCTGGGCCGCCTCCCCGGAAGCGTCGAAAGCCCCCCTGAGCGCAGGATAGCCGAGTAAAGCCGCGAGGGCGGGGGTGAACGCGGCGCGCCTGATGGCGGACCGAGCCCGGGGTCCCTCGGGCCATCCACCACCAACCACACCCCAGGGAAGGGGGCAATTCAGCAGAGTCAGGCGAAGCCCGAAGGAAACCGCGTGGTGGCTCACGGAAGAGCGCCACCGCGGGGAAGCAGGGAAGCCGCTCGCCGCTCTCAGCGCCTGCTGGGACGCCCCGAAAACGGGGCGAAGGGAGAGCCGCTCCGGCCGCCACCTGCTTCGACACCACCGCGTGCAGCACGTGGGGAGACGCTGCGGAAAGAGAGCAGGGCAAGCACGTCGAGGGGTGAGCAAGCGAAAGGGGCAGCCCAACGCCACTTGGACGCCACGCCTTGGATCTAGGCGCGCTCTCGGATTTTCGGAGACCCGGAGAGGGTAGCGAGGCGCGTGGGAAGGTCCATCACCTTGCCCCAACCGTCCCGGGGGTGAGGGACAGGGGGGTGGCCGAGGGCCGCGGAGGCGGCCCCCTGGATCCCAAGGTTCTCCGCCGTCTCGGCACCTTCCCACAGCTGCCGCTTGCCGCGGCTCTCCACCACCCCGAGGAAGAGGGTCGAGTCCAGCCGTGGCGTCGAGAGCGCTTTCCCAGCCGGCCCCGTTCGAAGCTTGCAAACACCGATCGTCCACGTACGACCAGGCGCCGGCGCACGCCTGCAGAAACCTGATCCGGGCGTGCCCAGGGGACAAGGCACAGCTAAGCGCGCGGCCGCTGCGCGGGCAGCCGGCTGGCAGCCCCCGCGCCGGGCGAAGGGAGTCGCTAACGCACCCCCCAACCGAGCACGATCGAGGCCCGCGCCAAGTCTGGACCAGGAAGCGCACCACGGCAGGGGGATCACCTTGGTGCAGCCACGCGTCGGCCGCCACCTGGTCGGAGTCCGAATCGCAGGCTTTCTCCGCGTCTACCTCAGATCTGGCCTCGCCCGGGGCGGCAGCCCAGTCCTCGAAGGACAGCAGCGGACCGTTCTCACCCCAAGCGCCGTCCGGAGGAGGAGGGAGGGGGAGCGCAGCAACCAGCTGTGCCACGCCCGGGGCCACGCGGGGGCGCCCGCCACGGGCCAAGAGCGTCGTCGGAAGCTCGCCCGGGGCTCCCCGCCACCCGAAGCCCGGTAACACAACGCGCTCGCGACGCAGGCCACTCGTCCGGATCTTCGACGACACGGACGAGAACCTGGCGAAGCTCTCCTGCGAGGCTCGGCAGATGGTCCGCGACCGCCCGCAGCTCGCTAGAGTCCCAGCCGTCGAAGCCAGCCGCGCTGGAGACCTTAGAAAGGGCCTCCGACCAACCTTCGGGGCTAGGGGGCCTCCAGGGAAGTGGGGCACCCCAAAGAACCCCGCAGTCGGCAGCCGCCCGCGGCCAATCCGGCCGCCATCCGCTGGGGCTGGGACGTCCCGAGACTACCACCAAGGCTCCCAGGCGGCGCGCATGTCGTCCACGGTGACGACTGGAAGCGGCAACCTTGGTTGGAGGTAGCCCGCGGCTGCTGCCGAGGAGCGAGCGTCCCACTGGCGAAACTGCTCCCGCCAGCGGGACGCGGCAGCCTTGCCGTGGTGCACATTCTCGGCGGTGATGCCGGCAGAAGCCCGTCGCGGCAGGCGGCACCCTAATGCCTCTTGAAGGGGGGCGAGCCTGGTCTCGTGGACCGCCCTCCAATGCAGCCGAACCATGCGCCGTTGCCGGATCGGTGCCACCGGCCTGTGCCCAGCCGTCGGCGCAGTAGGCCGAGCGCCTGCCGCGGAACCCTGAGCACGCTCGGGGCGCCGGGCGACCTCAGCGAGGCCAAGGGCAACGGCGGCCCGGAAAGCGGCCTCCGTGCGAGCGCGCCAAGGGCCGAGGACTCGGCAGGCCCAGTCCTCGCCGCCGTCGTCGCCGGCGCCGCCGTCGGGCCTGAGAGCGGGGCCGTGCCTGGGAGCCTCGGCGGGCCTTCCCGGTCGTCGGCGGCCGCCTCGAGCGGCTGGCGTTCCTCAGGCGTCGCCGGCCAGAGCCAGCGGTGGAGGGCCGCGCGGCGAGGCTGGGCCTGCTGCACCGGCGGGGGGGCCAGGATCCCGAGGCTGAGCACCATGCCGAGGCGATGGAGCACCCCAGGGAAGGCAGCCGCATCTGCGAGCGCGGGGAGGAAGCCGGGGCCAAGGCACCGGGTCGCGAAGGCCGTGCCCTGGGCAGTGCTAGGGTGGGGCAGGGGGGGGAGGCCCAAGGCGCCTGGCCCAAGAGGCCACCAGGAGGCCACCAAGCGGCCCCCCAGAGGCGCCAAGAGGTCTCCAAGAGGAACCCAAGACGCCCCAAGAGGCTCTGAAGACCGACACGAGGCCCCCAAGAGGCTTCCAAAAGGCACCCAAGGCGCCCCAAGAGGCCCCCAAGAACCGCCAGGAGGCCCCCAAGACGCCCAAAGAGGCCTCCAAGAGACCCCGAGAGACATCCCGAAAGACTCAGAGAGGCATCCAAGAAGCCTCTGGCCCATGGAGGCTCCCCGAGCTCTCCACATGATGCCACGCTCCCCCGATAAGGGCAGCTCCCCTGGGCATCGTTCCTTGATGGGCTGATGAGGGTACGCGAAGCTTTTTAAATTCGAGCTCACTAATACTACGCTGTTGCACAGGAACGGTGGTGGGGTATGCCACAGCCAGCTTTATATCCTGCTTATAAGTGTGTATGTAAACATGTGTATGTATATATATATATATATATATACACACACACCTAGACATACACATACAAGTGTAGATCCAAGTGCATACATGCAAACATGCGGCAACACGAGCTTGGAGTAAGCGTATACGAGCAGGTTTGTAATTGCTGTGCCATATCGCTTCAGTACGATGCACACACTTTCGAAGCCTCGAAGGGCTCCGAAACGGATCCCGGGGATCCTCGGGACGTCGTCCGGAAGGGCCGCCGAGGGAGGCCGCTCAGGGACCGCTCGCCGCTCGAGGCCGCTCGGTCCTCTCGCGTGGCACCCAGGCCCCGGCTCGAGCCTCCCGCCTGGCCTACCCCTCAAACAAACCTCCCTTTAAGAGACCTCCCCTTAGCGAAAACGGCCTGGGACCGGAACCGACGGACCTGAACCCGCAAAAACGACGGCCGCGACGCCCTCTCTGGAGAAACGAAAACGGCCGATTCGTTAATCGACGTGTCAGGGCAGGAGGTCTGTCCACCCCCGACATACATACACACCTGCCCGTCGGTCGGAAGAAGTAGGTCGAAACATGAAGTAGGAAGTCGTTGAAAAGAGATTGGGTTATCTTTGCCCCCCAAGGAGGACGGACAAGGTAAAGCCCCTCGATAATTGAAGTAGGAAGGCGCTCAAAGTAGATTGGAACCTGGCACTCCAAATATGCCTACATATACATACATGCATACATACATACAACCGTGAATACATGCATACATACATGCATACATGCATGCATGCATACATGCATGCATGCATCCATACGTACATGCATACATACATGCAGACGTACAAACCTACAAACATACAAACACACAAACATATATACATGTATACATACATACATACATACATACATGCATGCATACATACATACATACATACATGCATGCATGCATACATACATACATGCATGCATACATACATGCAGGCATACGTACATACATGCATGCATGTATGCATACATACATACATGCATGCATACGCACATACCTAGATACATACATGCATATCTACAAACATATACATATGCATATACATATATATATATATACGTAGATACATAAATACATATATACACATACATGTATATATACATGTGCATATAGGTATATACATATACGTTTACATATACATATACATATACATATACATATACGTATACATATACATATACATACACATACATATATAAAAACATGTTCATATTAATGTTCATATACATGTTCATATACATATACATATGCGTACATACTTACATACATACATACATGCATGCACGCATACACCTGTACATACATGCGTGCATGTATACGTGCATGCGTAAATACATACACATATACATACATGCATGCATGCATGCATGCATACATACAAACATACATACATACATACATGCATACATACATACATACATACATACGTTTCATACCTACATACATGCATGCACACATACATGCATACCTACATACATATACATATGCATGTATGCATGCATGCATGCATGCATATATACATGCATACATGCATATATATATATATATATATATATATGAATGCGTACACATAGACATGCATGCATATATACATACATACATACATACATACATACATACATACATACATACATACATACATACATACATACATACAAACACGTACATACATACATACATACATGCATGCATGCATGCATGCATGCATGCATACATACAGACATACACACACACATATAGATAGATACGGGTTCAATGAAGAGTGGAGGTGACGCGGCAAAGCACTGTAAAGGGACGCGGCAAAGCACTGTAAAGGGCTGGGGGCTCAGGGCGCCGAGACGAATGAGGAACGCAGGCGCCGCCAGCGCCCGCGCGGCCTCGGCAACCTCAGCTCCTGAGCGCTTGCAGGGGGCACGGTAAGCCAGGGTCCTGGAGCCCTGACGCTCGCGGACGAACACAATGCACGGGGAGGTCCACGCCGCCGAGGCCGGCGCCGCCGAAGAGGTGGAGGAGGGGGGGAGAGGAACGAACGGCAGCGGCAGCCGCCAGCCTTCCCCCCCCTCCCCTGCTGAGGGGCAACGCTAAGGGGGGGGGGACCAGGCGGGGGGGGACCATCCGACTGGAATCGGCGGCACACCGCCGATGCATCGGCGAAAGGCCCCCGATGGCTAAACCGCACGCTCCTGGGCGGGAGCTGGCTGCGAGGCCCCTGCCGGCGACCGCTGAGCAGTCGGGGGGTCGAGGCGTCTGCCCCCTGAGCCAGTCCCTGCCTGACGTTGCCCGTGACCTCCTCCTCCTCCTCCTCCTCCTCCTCCCCCTCCTCCTCCTCCTCCTCCTCCTCCTCCTCCTCCTCCTCCTCCTCCGAGAAGTGCCATGCACCTCCTCCTCCTCCTCCTCCTCGTCCTCCGAGAAGTTGCCCGTGACCTCCTCCTCCTCCTCGTCCCCCTCCTCCTCCTCCTCCTCCTCCTCCTCCCCCTCCTCCTCCTCCTCCTCCTCCTCCTCCTCCTCCTCCTCCGAGAAGTGCCATGCACCACCGAGACCCCTCCACGGATAGAGCACGCACCCAGGCGGCGGCCAGCGGGGCCCCGCCTCCCTCCGACCCGGGCGCGCTTCCACTGCCGCGGAGCGCGCGGCTCCGCAACGTTTGCCGTTGCCAGCACTGGAGAAGCATAACAGAGACGACATCAAGTGCGCCGAAGAGGGGGGCCGAAAAGAGGAGGAACGTGTGCATCATGGGCAGATGCGTGTGCGCTGACAAGGTTGTGGGAGCCGGGGAGCGTCTCGAAAGGAGGAGAAGACGAAGAAGAAAAGGAAGAAGAAGAAGAAGAAGAAGAAGAAGAAGAAGAAGGGTCCATGAAATCTGGCTGTCGCGGCCCTGGCCAGGGTAGCCACACACCCGTAGTCTTCACCCCCTCCTGGACGCCTCCGGAAACAGACGGGGACGAGAAAAGCAGGAAGCCGCCCCTTGACCAGCGGCCTTGCCGAGCCACTTGATGCGCGCATCGGACTTCAGTGCGAGCGCGACCTTCAGGTCAACCTCTGCGGCAGAGCAAACATGGGACGCGGCAGTCGGGCCCACTCGCCGCAGCAGACCCGACGAGGCAGGATTACACATTAGGACAAATGGCTCCAGCGTCAAAAGGTGAGCCTCCCTCCGGAAGCATTCGGCAAAGCGCAGCCTTTGAGACTTCCCCAGGCATGCCTTCTCCATCCACAAACTATCTCTCCTGGGGCGCTCTTGACCTCCTCTCAAGCACTTGCCGCCGACCGCGCAGGTGGGGCAGGGGAGGGGGCGTGGGCATCCTGGACGGGACGTCCCGCCTCGGATCCGAGCTGCCTGGAACGCATCCCCGCCCGCCCCCAGCATCGCCTCCTTGGCCAGGGCCTCCCGCTCCTCCTTCACATGCTATTCCTCCCATGCTCATCCTCCCCTCATCCTCCTCCTCCTACTCTCCTCCTCCTCCTCCTCCTAGTCCTCCTCCTCAGCATTATTCTCCTCCGCGGATCATCCTCGGTAAAGCAGAAGCACTCCGTCCACAGGGTCGGAGCTTGCAAGCGAGAACTTTTCGTCGACACTGGTCCTCATGCGTATCCTCCTCCTCCTCCTTCTTCTCCTCTTCCTCCTCCTCCTCCCACTCGTCATGATCAGCATCGTCATCATACTCATTACAAACAACAGCAATAACAACAACAACAACAACAACAACCAAAAAAACGATAACTATAATACCAACAACATCAACAACAACAACAACAACAACAACAACAACAACAACAACAACAACAACAACACTAACAACCACAACGACAACCTAAACAACCGCACCACCAACAACAACAGCAACAACAACAACAACAACATCCACAACCACAACCACAACAAGAACACCAACAACAACAATAACAACAACCACAACATGAACAACTGCAACGACGACAACAACAGTCTCAACAACAACATCAAGAAACAACTACAACAACAGCGACAGCAACAACAACAACAGCAACAACACGAGTAACAACAACAAGCGCAACAACCATAAAAAAACAACAACGACGACAACACGGGCAATAACAGCATCAACATCCACCTAAACAGCAACAACAACGGCAACAACAGCATCGTCCTCATCATCAGCATCATCATCAGCATCATCAGCATCATCATCAGCAGTATCATCGTCATCATCGCAATCGTCCGCATCATCACCACCATCAGCATCATCATCAACAACAACATCAGCATCATCATCATCAGAAGCAGCACCAGCATCAGCATCAGCATCACCACCCTGCTCTTCCACACCGCCACCACTACAGCCACCATCAGCACCATCATCATCCGCAAATCATCATCATCATCATCATCATCATCATCATCATCAGCAGCATCAGCTTCATCAGCATCATCAACCTCATAATCGTCGTCATAATCAGCACCAGCATCATCATCATCATCATCATCATCCTAGTCCTCCATCTCCTCCTCCTCCTCCTCGTCTACCCCTCATCATCACCCTCCTCTACTCCGCATCATTCTCATTCGCAGATCATCCTCGGTAAAGCTTCCGCTCTCCGTCCGAAGGGTCGGAGGCTGCCAGCAGAAGCTGGTTGTCATCATCGCCAGCACCATCACCATCAACAACAACATCAAGAACCACAAAAAAAACGACAGCCGCAACAACATCATCAGCAGCATCACCACCCTCAGCATCAGCAGCAGCAGCATCAGCAACCGTATCAGCATCATCGTCAGCATCAGCTGCAGCATCGACAGCATCATCCTCCTCACCACCACCACCACCATCTATACCACCATCATCATGATCATCAGAATCATCGTGAGCAGCAGCATGATCCGTATCGATAGCATCAGCAATACCATCAGCACCATCATCGCCAACAACAGTAGCATCAGCATCAACATCGTCATCATCCTCCTCATCCTCTTCTCCGCATCCTCAGCCCCCATCCACGTCATCATCATCACCACCATCATCAATATCATCATCATCAGCCTCATCAACAGTCACAGCATCGTCGTCCTTCCTCTGTATTTCGTCATCTGTCTCTCTGACCACCTCGCTCTCCCTCAACCTCCCGATATATATATGTCTCTCTCTCTCTCTCTCTCTCCAGCTCCCTCTCCTTCTCCTCCTCCTCCTCCTCATCATCATCCTCCTCATCCGCCTTCTCCTCAGCATCCTGCTCCACTTCGTTCTCCTCCTCCTGCTCCTCCTCCTCCTCCAACTCCTCCCCCTCCTCTTCCTCCTCCTTCTCATCATCATCATCCTTCTCCTCCTCCTCCTCTACCTCCTCCTCCT